CCATGACAATAGATTCGGCTGTAGAAAGGGATACAAGGAAGGTGTGAGATAGCGGTTAGTGTAGCACAAGGTTAGCCGCAGGTGCACACACAGCCTTACATCGTACAAACAGCTCTCTGTCAATCAGTAACAGACATTCCTGGCCTTGAGCCGGCTCTGTGTGTGCCCTGCGCTGTGCATGGCACAGACCTCCCGACAAAGAGGGACATTTTAAAGGAAAAACGTACACATATGTATTCCAGTCACTATAACTGTGAAAACACAGTTTGGGCTTCTGGCCCCCCGGAACCAACATAAAACTCCGCTTTATTCCCGTGGCCATGGAAGTCTTCCGCGGCTAGCTCCGCCCCTACTCTGCCTCATTGGCTGAGATCAACAAAATTGATTCCCATAGGAAATCCTTGGGAGGCAATTGCGCATGCGCAACAAAACGCCATGCAGGCCCTGGGGAGATAGCGCAGCTAAGCGGACAAGGGCACATGTAGGCGTGTGGGGATAGATGCATGGGATTGGTTGGGAAAGAGTGTGTGGGTGGGATTATGTTCTGTGTGGGGGAGGTCTTACCTCAGTGCCACTTGGGATTCGGGCCAGCAAACAGCTTCCCTCCCGCCTGCCCTATTGGTATATTTCGTCAAAACTAGCCGGGGGTATGTCCTTGCCATTTGAGTTTGAGTGGTTACGTTTAAGTATATGGAATGAGATGAACAAGTTTTTAAGGTCTCAACCTCCCCCGCTTCAAACGGTTAACATTAGGTTGCCTGAGGTGTCGTGCCCATCGAGCGTGGATAAGGTCGGCTGATGGCGGGCATTGGAAAGATATAATTTTTATGACGAGGGGGGAGGTGAGAGGACGTGGTGATTAGGAACCACTGTATGTTTATTGGCAAGGACGGTTGGGTCACTGTATAACACTATGTGTGGAGTTATATATGTATATATGCTAATTTATGCTTATTTATGTCTAACGTTTTGGTTACATTATTGCTGTGGAGCTCTGTTATACACACAGACACATTACTGGGAGTATTATTGCTGTGGAGCTCTGTTATACACTCAGACACATTACTGGGAGTATTATTGCTGTGGAGCTCTGTTATACACTCAGACACATTACTGGGAGTATTATTGCTGTGGAGCTCTGTTATACACTCAGACACATTACTGGGAGTATTATTGCTGTGGAGCTCTGTTATACACTCAGACACATTACTGGGAGTATTATTGCTGTGGAGCTCTGTTATACACTCAGACACATTACTGGGAGTATTATTGCTGTGGGGCTCTGTTATACACTCAGACACATTACTGGGAGTATTATTGCTGTGGAGCTCTGTTATACACTCAGACACATTACTGTGAGTATTATTTCTGTGGAGCTCTGTTATACACTCAGACACATTACTGTGAGTATTATTGCTGTGGAGCTCTGTTATTCACTCAGACACATTACTGGGAGTATTATTGCTGTGGAGCTCTGTTATACCAGCAAGCATGCCCTAGAGTTATTCACTGCTTATTGCAATGAGCTAGGTACATATCCAATGCTCCCATAATGCAGAGCATACTATCCCTAATACAAGGCATCATGGTAGTGTGTAGTGTGTGCTCTCAATAAGCAGTATGCAGTTATTATATATCTATATTGATGGTTAAAGTGTTCCCGAAAACGATCTTGACAGGCGGTTTTACACGTCTGTTAAGACACTCACCGCCAGGTAGATGAAGCCGCCGTTTAGTAAATAATCCCCTTCTCCAGAAATGCAGTTTATATCCAGCCGACCGTCAAACTCCCGAACGAAGTCCACGAACACAGCAACTCCCGATCAGCAAAACAGTCGAACGCCTTCCACAGCTAAAAATAACGAAAGCGCTGTCCCAGTAATAATTCCCCCACAAACGAGACCAAGCTCCGTCTTGAGGGTCAAATCAGGATCTGTTTAATGGGGGCTACCTGCCCGGTATTTATGCAGGTCTCCACAAGGTGGACACTCCCCGAGGGGACCTTGTGGAAGACTGTAAAATATATTATACAGTAGCCAATCGCAGTGGCTTCAATATAAGCCCTTCCCATCTTACCCATAAACCCTTCTTCTCTACCCCGGAGATAATTAGGAAGAAACCTAATTATCTCCCAGGGTAGAGACAATCGCCATTTTAAATTACAGTAGCAAAAATACATTAAAATACATAACTGAAGAAATACCGAATGAATATAGTTCGTGTAAAGTATCCCCAGACAGCCTGGATCTGAGTGCATATTTTCACCGAATAGCGCTCAGATCCGATGTATCTAGTCGAATTGCCATGGAGTCAAAGTCTTTCACCAGTCCTTCGGTATACGAATGACTCCATGGGACGGCTGTCTGGGTAAAAGTCCATACGAATGCATAAAAACTCCCGAACGACCGGCGTTCCATGCCTTGTCGAAATAGAAGGTGGGCATCAGCTTCCAGCGGTGTTCGGTAGTTTAAAGTGTCCGTTTTTAGTTCCATACAAGTTGTACCGAACACCGCTATGCGTTCGTGTGTCCCAAAATGGCCGCTGCCTCGT